CGTGGCGCGGGGACGCGGCCGCTCGTCCCCGTGGGCGTCGCAGCCTCCCGGCCGGAGGGGCCGCCCGCGCTGTGTCCGCTCCCTTCCACCGCCTGTGCTACCCCCCGTCCCACAGCGCCCGGCGGAGCAAGGATCCTCAGAGCTTTGCACAAGGGACGTGGCCAAAACCGTGCTTGAGCAAGGGTTGGCTGGCTGCCCCCGAGGGTTGGCCTCCAAGAGTTGAGTAGATGTCTCCGAGGGTTGGCTAGATGCCACTAAGGGTTGGGTACATGCCACTAAGGGTTGGCTAGATGCCTGCATAGGTGAGCTCTCCGTGTCTCCTCGGAGGGAACGCAAGGAATTTTGGACAGACTCCATACATCAACGTCCAGCAGACGATGCCGAATGCGGCTGTCTGTTTGCTGTTGGAGTGTTTGTCAACGCCATCCCCAAAGTCAACAGCATGATAAAGGTGCTGAAATGGTCGCCATCATGACGGCGATTGGTTTCCTCGCCCAAGAAAGCAGGTTGGTAATGAAGTCAGGAAAACACAGCCTTTGTGTTGTTGAGTCTTGTATGAGACTCACTGGGGCTGCCTGCTTGCCGAGTTCATGGCACCATTGCTTCCCACACGGTTTTGCTGTGCTGGCAGCTTTATGGTACCGTTTAATCAGCTGCCACAAAATCCAGAGGCTGTGCTCTCCAATAACATAGAGTTTGTTACCACTGGAAAGGGGCCTTGGTTTTGTAGGCTTCCTAGAAGATTGTTTCAAGTCAACAGGAGCGCTTTCCAGCATCAGAAAAAGCGCAGAGGGGGCTCAACCATCCTCGTAGTTGGCAGATGTGTAAAGAACAAAATTCCACTTCTGGTTGGATTAGCTTCCCACCTACCGCTTTTTATCACCATTCGTTGGTAAAGGGCAAGGAATAACGTTATTTCCCCTCATGGACAGCTCTTGTTCTGTAATTAATTCCATTTAGAACAGGGAAATCTTCTGTTCTCAGCTCGTCAAGAACCTAAATTGGAATGTCTAAAAAGAAA